GTACTACACTGAACTAATAAAAATTACGTAAATAATTAATTACTTAGTATATATATATATTAATTCTAATTTATTATTTAGTATACAATTATTTATTTCAGCAATTCTTCACCCATTTTCACGACTGTGAAATATTCAATACAAGTAATTTAATTTATTTCTGTTTTTACAATCAGTATCATTATTATTATTATTATTTAACCAGACAGTATATACTCTCTTTTATATATAATATATATATATAATGAGTTGCCTACCTCGTTTATAAATTATTAAGTGCGCATAGCATTGAAGAAGCTAACCATTCCCACGGTTGCCAGAAGAGTAAGCCAGATTTCAAGTCAAACAAAATTTGTATTTCCCTGAAAATATCTCGCGGCTATCGTGCCAGCCGGATTCGAATTCCCGCGTCCGCTATCTCCCACAGCATTCGATGGTTTCGCAACGAGGCCGGTCACGCGGGTGCGTATAGATCAACAGATCAATGGCCCGGGGTCGAACGGGGAGCGTAAATGCGGCCGCGTGTACGCGCGCCCGCATCGAGGCGCGCAGCTGCGTCGCGCTAAGTGCGTGGCACGCCGAGCGAAAAGATCGAAGTATCATTGCCCGCGTTCCAAGGTAATAACACGGATCCCATGGAAACGGCGCAGACGAACGTAACGAGCCAGCAAATTACAGAAATCGCCGTGCCACCTGTAATAAATAAAGGAACGACCGCGATCAACGATGCTCACGTACGCCGTTCAATATCCGGCAGCAAACACGGCCAGGTTTCGCGGCGCCGAAATTCGATTTATTCCCCTTCATGAATTACCATACCAACGTTCGTCCCACAAGGGCCTCGCAGCAGCGACCTGTGTGGTCCGCGAGTCAATTTTCCCCGATATTTCATAAGCTTGTAATTCATGTCGGACACGACTTGCGCCGGAGTTTCCGTCACACGCGTGGCGGTGGGAGGACTAATGTAGATTTCAAGCGCAAGGAGTGGGGATGGCTCACGTGACGCGAGAGGACCACCGCGCGGCATCACGTGACTCCTGGACAGCGCTATAAAATTGTATTACTGTTTTATTGAGCTAGGTCTCGATTAGGTCTCGATTAGGTTATTGTTAGGTCTAGATTAGGTCATTGTGACGTTTTGATTAGGCAATTGATAGGTCTGGGTCAGATCTGGGTTAGGTTTGACGCAAAAGTTATTGCATTAATCCTACTTTAAGCATTTAGTTCTGTGTTAGATCTTTGGTTATATAAAATCGCACTATATTATTACTTTTTTATTGAGTTAGATCTTGATTAGATCTAGGTTAGGTCTGGGTTAGGCTCGATGCAAAACTTATTACTTTATTCCTACTTCAAGCATTTCGTTCTGCGTTAGTTCTTTGGTTATATAAAACCAAATGCTGTTGTATTCGGTTAGGTCTTGATTAAATCTGGGTTAGGTCTAAGTTAAGTCTGAGTTAGATTTGATTCAAAAGTTATTACATTATTCGTACTTTAAGTATTTAGTTCTCCGTTAGATCTTGGTTATATAAAATCGTACTATATTATTGCTACTTTGTTGACTTAGGTCTTGATTAGATTTCGGTTAGGTCTGAGTTAGATTCGACCCAAAAAAATTCTCACATTATTCCCACGTTAAGCATTTCGATTTGTATTAAATCTTCAGTTACATAAAATCGGACTATATCATTGTTGTTTTATTGAGTTAGGTCTCGATTAGATCTTGATTATGTCTTGATTAGGCCTGGGTTAGGTCCGAGTTAGGTCTAACCCAAAAAATTCTTGCATTATTCCTACTTTATGCATTTCGCTCTGTATTAAAACTTAGTTTATATAAAATCGTATTATATTATTGCTGTTTTATCGAGTTAGGTGTTAATTAGGTCTTGATTAGGTCTAGGTTAGGTCTGGTTTAGGTTTAACCCAAAAAAATTCTCAAACTATTCCCACTTTAAGCATTTCGTTCCATATTAAATCTTTAGTTACATCAAATCGTACAATATTATTGCTCTTTTATTGAGTTAGGTCTTGATTAGGTCTCGATTAGGTCTGAGCTAGTTCTGGGTTAGGTCAGGGTTAGGTCCAACCAAAAAAATTCTTCCATTATTCCCACTTTAAACATTTCGTCCCATATTAAATCCTCGATTCTCTTATCTCTGTGTCAAAAAACGCGAATATTTTCTGACCTCGCTTTTCACTCCTGATTCTGTCGCATCGGTTCGCCGACGACTAAACGTGGCAGCGCCGCGGCGTGCCGCTTGTTATCCCGTTCCCGGTTGTCACACCTGCTTCGATAGTTTCTAATTCCCGTTTTTACGAAACCCAGGAGGACCTTGCTCCCCCGGAATCGCACGGGCCGATCTGCCGGCCGTAAATCCCGCGGCGCGTAGCAGATCTAAGACGCGCAGCATTCACGTTGCACACGCGAGAGGTATGCGTTTCGAGAGATAACTGGTACGCGGCGACGCGCCGGATATCGTGTGTCCACAAAGTTCTGCCGCTGCGCGGGATTATCGGCCGTGGCGCGGGTTATCGCGTGTTCTAGCCTCGGGGACCCGCGACCCCCAATTTTATGGCGGTAATTAAAATCTACCACTATTCCATTAAGCCTTCAGCCCCTATCTTTCGCGCGGAACCGCCGCCGTATCTCGCGCGCAAAGTGCGCTGATACCTCTTCGATCCTGACAGCCCAAGCAAACTTGTTTCGCGCGGTCGATCGCCGCGGGGCCCTTTTCCTCGATAGTTCTGAATCGACTAGAATATGGTATAGCGTGTGCAATTTTCGCGCAACTTCCGCGGAAGTTTGAAAAATATGAATTCCTCAGTTTTTCTGATTTTGTGAATTTTTCGGAACATTATATTCGATGTCTGCAATAGTTTATATTTCGATTAAAAATCTACTATGAGCAAATATTTTATTGAAATTCTGTTAAAAATATAGCGTGATTTTAAATAATATTTAAAAAATGTAACAATTGAATTCTTTGTTAAAATTATAATGCTAGATTGTTAATAGAATTTTAATACATCATTTAATTATTATAGATTTTTATTAGAAATTTTAACTGTATTTACAATTCTATTAGAAATCTAGCACAGTACCAATTTCTATTAAAAATCTACTGTGGTTGAATATTTTATTAAAATTCTGTTAAAAATCTGCCGGAATTCAAATTTCTATTCAGAATCTGCTGTAACTAAATAATTTTTATTATTATTTTTTTTATTACTATTTTTTATTACCATTTTTTTTANCTATCTCGGTTTCAATTTCTATTACAAAACTATCAATAGTTAAATTTCTATTAAAAATTTCTTACGATTGAATTTTCTATTAAAATTGACTACACAATTTAAATTTTTAATATAAAAATCTATTATAATTAAATGTCGCATTGAAATTCTATTAGAAATTTATCGCAGTACAAAAAATTTATTCTAATTCAGTTTTGTATTAAAATTTACCAGAATTTCAATTTCTATTGAAAATTTACTATAATTCAATTCCGTATTAAAAATTCATATTTCGATATCGTCTTCGATATCAATTATTAATCAAACCGTTCGCTCGTTTTTATGCATTCGCGAGTGAAATAACTCATCGTAGGTTAGGCGATCGGGGGATCACGGACTATGTATTTATGACACGAGGCCGCTTATGAGCCCATAACGCGGACGCCAGCCGGAAAGTGCCTAATTACCATACGTGCCGATACGCGGCGCGCACGTTGCCCGCAACGTGGAATTATGTGCATGCGCGGCCGGACGGCGATTACCGTGCGCGTGCGCGGAAAGACGCCGCGTAAAAATCGGATTGCGAAACCCCGTTCCGTCACCGGGAAATCGTCGTCCCATCGTTTTCATAGATTCTGCGTCGACGACCGCGCAACAGCAGTTATTCTCCGACATCAGGTACCGTTTGATTTTTATTAGCGTTCGCAGACCCGCTGCTTGCTTATTTGCAACTGTTAGGCAGTTTTTAGTAGCCGCCGTAATTTATTCCTCACCGCAATACGCTTTTATGGTCCATCCTTCAAGCGGAAACGTGGTCCGAACGACCGATTTAGCTGGACAAAATTCGAACACTTGATAATTTCTCGGAAAAATTATCTGGCAATTTTGGACGAGAATTGGCTTCATTCGACTGACGATAATTACGCGAGATATCATCGTAAGATGACGACTCTTTTTTTGAATTAAAGCTTGAAACCTCTGCTTTAAGACGGTATTTTTGGATTTTTAGTTCGAAGCGTCCTCGATGCTGTAACCCTTTGCATATGTGATCATGTTTTTCGTAGCGAAAATTGCCGTGTTTGACTTTGTAAAATTTTTATCTATCTTTTTTTATTCTTTTCTATTGCAAATTGTATTCACAGAAGAAAAGTAGTTTAAAGTGAGACAAAAAAGCGTCGGCAATGTATGCGAAAGTCATTAAAATTGCAAACTAACCCTCTTCAGCCTCATATTTACCAACAAATTTATTTAAAAAGAAATCATTTTCGAAAAATCGTATTTCAAGAAAAAACGCAAAAATCAGCTTTTGAAAAATCGTAGAATATTTTCCAAATGTTATATTTTAAAAAAGGCACCAGAAATTAACTTTCTAAAAATCGCAGAAAATTTTCGAAAAATTACGTTTCGAAAATCAGCTTTTTAAAAATCGTAAAAAGTTTTCGAAAAATCATATTTAAAAAACGAAGCACCAAAACACAGCTTTTTAAAAATCGTAGCAAATTTTCTATAAATAATTCCTAGAATATTAAAAAAAAAAACACCAGAAATCAGCTTTTTAAAAATCGTAGAAAATTTTTAAAAAATCACTAAAAATCATCTTTTGAAAAATCGTAGAAAATTTCCAAAGACTCGTACAGGTTTCGTTGGCAAGTCGAGCCGCGAAGATTCGCCGGGCGATGCTCGCGATTGGAGCGGTTCGTGCCGGCTGTTCAATGAGTCGGAAAATGCTATCGAAGAAGCCGTGGCGAAAAATTCGCGCGGCGCGCGTCGAGACGCGGGCCGATGCGCTGCACGGTGCGTGTGTTTACACGGGCAAATATTTAAATGGGCTGTAACGGTACACCGGGAGGATCGCCGCGATTCCTTCCGCGCGCTCCGCGAATCCACGCCGGCCGGGAATCGCCGTCAACCTCTCGAACATGATACGTGAAAGAGCGCGGCGTGCCACCTGCCCCGGGTGCGTTGACTTTTCTTGTCCACCTTATAGGGAGGCTCAGCGAGTCCCGTCAAACGCTTCGCTCTAAATCACCGATTCGATGCACCGTGTACTTTACCGCTTGACAACGCGCGCCCTAACAAACACACATATACACACATATATAGACTGCACAGGGTGCTCCACACGCACACAACAATCTGCACACGCACACGCTGTACAGGGTGCTCCAGAAACGTGCACGGGAGCCATTGAGACGCGATGAAACTAATCCGAAGTGACACGGAAATTCTGCTCGATATATAGGGTGTCCATTTTATTCTGCACTTTGACATCTTTTTGCGTTATTTTTGCCGGTGAAAGAAGATGTGTCACGACGATTTTGTTCAAAAGTTTTGTACAAAGTTGATAATAATATCGTTCACACATTTTGTTTTATTTTTCCCAAGGTCATTTGTTCCGAGCGTTCAAGGTCACCGTTGTTTCTTAGCACGTTAATTGCGATTTTTTTATAACGCGACATCGCACTTCGAGACGAGTTGAATGACCTCCGATATTGTGACCTGTGACCTGTGTGAAAAATAGCGATGACTTTCGGCGCTTGAAAGGAAAAATGACCTCGAGACGAGGGAAAAATATGAATCGTGATATTCGACGCTTTCGATCGAACGAAAATCGTTTTGGCACATTTCATGACGTTTCCATGTGCAGGATAAAGAGGACACCCACATATTCGAATCCTTGATAAGAAATGGTGGGAAAAATACGCGAGAACTCGAGAAATTTATACGAAAAATTTACGTTCAAATCGTTTTATTCTTAATCGATTTATTTTTGATTTATAAATTATTCGATACAAAATTATTTAAATTATATATTAATTTCATTTCAATTATCTAGTTAATAATCTATGTCAAATTACTGCCAGTTTCGTCTATGAAGTGGCAGTTAAAATTTCAATTCAACAATTTTACGAAATTATTTTATTAAAATTTTTATTTCAATTTATTATATTCGAATCGAAAGTTTGACTGCCACGTTATAAACAAAATCGCAGGAATAGTACACATTTTTCGGTCACTCTTCGCCAACCACAGTCTTCGCAAACTTTGCAAACGAAAGCCACTAATTTTCTTTATACAATTTTTTCTCACAATAAAATCGCAAACTATCTTTTGGAAATGGAACGAATCAGATTTTCTTTTAAATATTAATAAACGACGAAATAAATATGATTTTCAAGCATTCCATTCTAGCGAGCGAATAATCGCGCGACGAATAAGAGAAGTTCCATCGGGAACAATAACGCGGACAGTTGACCCTGTTTCGGCGGGCAACTTTTGCGCGAGCCTGTACGAATAAACCGGTCGAACAAGGAATATCGAAAATTGATGGCGCCGATGGTACCAGGAAGAGCGCTCTCGGTCCGTGAACGAGCGCCGCGAGCAGTAAGAGAAGCGTAGAGTAAGAGAGAGGGGAGCGTAGAGCGAGCGCGAGAGTGAGAAGGGAGCGCTGAGCGCGTGCGAGAAAGAGAGGGAAGCGCTGAACGCTCGTGAGTGAGAGGGGAGCGCTGAACGCTCGCGAGAGTGAGAAGGGAGCGCTGAGCGGGCGTGAGTGAGCGGGAGCGCTGAGCGCTCGCGGGAGTGAGAGGGGAGCGCTGAGCGTGCGCGGGAGTGAGAGGGGAGCGCTGAGCGCGCGTGAGTGAGAAAGGGGAGCGCCGAGCGCGCGCGAGAAAGAGAAGAAACGCGAGAGGACGCGCACGAATTTTACTGCATTGCGGTAGCCGTGTTCGACGCGGCCGCAGTTTACCGCAGACACTACACGGCTGACCCGAGAGATCGTTGTAACGGTTCATCCCAGCTTCCCGGTGGTTCCTCTTCGTTTTTTGGATCTCGTTCGGCCAGATCCCGTCCCGTTTAAGCCGATCATTCCTGACCGATTCCGCTCTCTTTCTCTGTCCACGGGCCGCGCCGTTTCACGGCCCTCGTAAAAATCGGCCGGCCGAACAGGAAACGACCGACCGATAACGCGGCGATAATTATCAAGCGGGGACCGTCATCTCGCGGCTAATTGGATCGCGCCGGCGTATCAGACCGCGTCTTGCCGGCCCCGTCCCGACAATTAGGATCTCGGCGATTGTCCGTTGCCCCGTGGAACGTGGTGAAATAAATGTTTTTTTTCTTCTTGGAATCCGTTTTTTGGCATCCGGAAATTCTTTTTCGGACCGCACCGAAAATTCGTGCGCGCTCGTCGAC